GTCTTTAGATTTTCTATTATGGAATGCGTGTAGGGTGCATTAACTAAAGCACAGTTGTATTAATAAGATTGGATGGGAATCAATGTTCTGAAAACCGGTTTTTTAGTGGAACCGGTTCAATGATCAGTTTCTGGTTCAACTGGTTCTACCGTCGATTCAATGGTCGGTGTACATCTAACAATGGCGTGTGTCATTCGATTGCTTCGGATAACCTGATTGATTGAGTTATTCCATTTTCTCTAGAAATGAGCTCCCCTTTTAAAGTAATAAGAAAAATCCAATTATCCAAGTCTAATAAACCGGTCACCATTAATAAGAAAAATCCAATTATCCAAGTCTAATAAACCGGTTCAAACGATTCTTTACTGGTTCTATGACCCAGTTTTTGAAGAAATCGTTAAAACTTAACATTAACCCGAAAAAATGGCCATTGAACATCTGGCTCCGGTTCTTTGGAGCCTTTATCTACTACGGAAGCCAATACAACCGATAACCAAAATTAAGGGAAACTAAGAACCGATAACCTGTTCAGTACCATCCGCTTCAAGTTAGGTTTTTCGGTCAATAAAATAATCTCTTAGATGTTGGAAATAATTAAAAACAAAGTAACTATTTCTTATTCTAAATCATATCTATCGCTTTTAACTGGATAAGGTGCATTCTTCACCAAAAAATTGTACATATCTATCATCTATCTAGTATATATATCCCCCTCATCTTTCATCCTTACTCCCACTTCTCTCGATCTCTGTGGACCATTGGTACCTAGCAACTAGGTGATGGCCATGATCCAGTACTCCCCCGCCGTTCTTCTACTGCTATATATCACAGCGGCGATGGTGGGTGTGGTTGTGGCCGAGCTTCAAAGGTTTGATCATGCGGTCAAATCCGACGGATCTCTTAGTTTTTTGGTCGTCGGTGATTGGGGTAGGAGAGGACTCTACAATCAATCCAATGTTGCTTACCAGGTTAGTTTATTACTAATTCATATATCCCAATTATAACTGTCTCCCCAACTACATACTAGCTTCTTAATCAACGTCAATTCGTTTACTTTAATGGAGGCACTACGTAATTCAACGTGCATTTTATCATGCGATCGACGTTACATTACACTCGTTAACTTTTGTCTCCCAAAAAGTAGTGAATTGCACTTGAAATCTAAACACCAACGTACACGAGTATTATTATTATTATTATTATTATTATTATTATTATTATTATTATTATTATGTAATAACAGTTCAGTTTTCGAGGATTGATTTGCGATATGAGATCTCTATAGAAATAGAATACGCATTGGTTGTGCCGAAATTGATTATTGAGGTTTAGTTTATTGTTATCTTTTAAAATTGTTTGTTATGATTTTATGATCATTGAAAACGTTAATTTCCGACTCAATTGCCCCAAAACCAAAATGGGGGATATGGATTTCGGTAGCCTGAAAATGGGGGATAATGGATATCATCAGTTTAATCCAGTTCAATTGAATCGCTAATTAAGGACATAATTTATTATCACATTTATTTTTTCCTTGAGTATTTTCAAAGTACTTATAGGAATTGGTATAATATGTGATAATTTAAAATAATACGACCATGTGAGTTGTATTATCTAGATAATTTAACAAAAAAAATCACTCTAACAACATTACAAAATCTTTTTGGTCCTACCACGGTGTAATATGGATAACAACACATGTCATGCTATTATTGAAGGCGATTAAAAAAGAAATATTAATTTGAACATAATTGTTTTTTCTTTGTTTGGTTTGTTCACGAATCTTCTAATATTCTATATTCTAAAATTGTTTTCAGATGGGGAAAGTTGGAGAGAAAATGGACGTGGACTTCATTATTTCCACTGGTGATAATTTTTACGACAGTGGATTAATTGACGTGGATGATCCAGCATTTTCTGAATCTTTTTCAAATGTGTATACTGCACCTAGCTTACAAAAACAATGGTACTCAGGTAAACTCATATATACCCAAGTATTAATTATTATATCTTTTAATACTTTGGAAGTCTCCATTTATTAATTATTAGCTCCTTCATAAAACTAGGCTGTTACTATAAAGCTATTAATTATGTCTCCATTTATGGATTTCTCTTTTAGCGTCTCGTTAGTTTTATTTTTTGAAAATTTCACTGTTAGAAAATAATCTATGGACATCTGAGAAATTATTAATGATTTTTTTTCTAAGAAAGCGTATTATGAATAAAACCAAAAATACACGATATGAAATGAAATTGTGGCAAAATGTTTTTGTTCATTATGTTCCGGTTAACGAAAAAAAATTGTATCTTGTTGTGTCTGTTCGGGTTTAATAAATAACTTTTGACGTATCGTACTAGCTAAAAGCAAAGAACGACTTCACGATTTGCCACCCTTAGTCTTATCAATTCGATAGTTCAATTGGTCTAATCGATCCCAAAAACCATGAGTTTGTTAGCATGTATATATATATATATATATATATATATATATATTAAAATTAAGTATTTAATGAATATATGGTTACAATATAAATAAAATATCTCCGTATAAGATTAGGCTTTATGCATAAAAAAACATATTTACATAACAAATGTGGTTTTTATTGTAAGAAATATACGGTTTTAAATGATAAATATAAAATATTGACACGGTTTTAAATGGAAAATTGTTAAAGTTAAACAAAATTGAAAAAAAAATGTTCAATTTAAAAACAAACGTATCAAAATTGTAAAAATATGAAAAGTTATTGTTAAAATTAAAAATATATATATTTAAAAACTTAGTGTATTTTATGTTTTTTTTTTTCAAACTCATTATATTAATGTCACATATCAGATCACCAAATACTATGCTACTTGAGTGGGTAACTTGTTCGACTGATGAAATTGTCAAAATAATAAAATTAAAAACTTAACGATGAAATTGTAACAAAAATAACATAGTTTTAAAATTGAAGTTTTGTAAAAACATAGTGCCTTGAGAATTGATAGTAAATCCGTGTTTGCTATCAAAATGGATCCAAATTGTCTACTTACAAAAATACTAAATTTTTTAATTCATAAAACTTGACTGGCTTTTAAGTGTTGATCAACCGCAGAAGTTTTAATCGGTTTTTGACTAACAAGTTACTTTTAAGTGGCACGATTGCGTTTTCACTGGTTTAAACTTTAAATACAGCCGGTTTTTCATATCCAGCCAGTTCTTTGTTGAGCCTTTTTATTTTACTTGCAGTATTAGGGAATCACGACTACAGGGGTAACGCTTTGGCACAATTGAGTCCTGTCCTCACACAGAGGGATAGCAAATGGTTCTGTCTTAAATCATTTATGCTCCATGCAGGTATACTTTTTTTTTTTAAGATTATTTTCATAATTTAAACTTACGTACTTATAAAACAATGCAGGACACACAGAATTCTTTTTTGTTGATACGACACCATTCCAAGATAAATATTTTACGGAAACAAAACATACCTACGACTGGAGAGGTGTTCTTCCTCGAGCAGATTACATTGCAAATCTATTAAAGGTGATCATTATATATATATAAAGAAAATGAATAATCAAAATTTATATTTAAAATATGACCCCCTTCGAGCTGGTATCTTTTAAGAGGGTTTGAATATAGTAGTATGGATTTTATATCCAAATGTAGATTAAGTTGTTTGTGAATGTGTTATACATATAAATAATTTGTAATTGTGATTTGTTTGATTATGTTTTTGGATGATAAAAATATGTTAAATACTGAATAGTATGTATGTGGACATATAAACAACACATACATATGCACGTAAATTTTATTTTTTCTTGCCGGATGTACAAGAATTTTGGATTTGATAAGAAAACATGGTGGTTATGCAGGAGGTGGACATAGCATTAAAAGAATCAAATGCCAAATGGAAAATAGTGGTCGGGCATCATACAATGTTTAGTGCTGGTGACCATGGGAACACTCAAGAGCTAGTTGACAAGCTATTGCCAATTCTTAAGGTATATATTACGGTATAAATTACGACAACAAAAAAAAAATAATAATAATAATAAAAAATCTAAAGTTTACAATTCTTTTTGTTTTACTGTCTCCCAAAATTTAGTGATTTTACCAATTGCAGGAAAATGAGGTGAATTTATACATAAATGGGCATGATCATTGTTTGCAACAAATCAGTAGTCCAGACAGGTAAACTTGTTCTGTTTCTTTGTAATCTTCATGTGATCTTAATATAAGTTGCATTTTCTACTAGTTACATGGCATTGGTTCAGTGATGATATACTTGTACATATATTTAAGGATTAGAGTTTCGACTATCGTCATGTGGAGTTTCTATCCCAATGAAAATTAGGCAAATTAGGCTCTATCTGGACATATATATTACTCTTATGTTACTCATGTCAACTTTGTTGGAAAATTTACTGCTTATAGATATGAATGTAAATATGTATAATGAAAGAATAATTATTTGTTACTGTAGCAAGCTTCAATTTCTAACAAGTGGAGGCGGATCAAAGGCATGGCGTGGTAATACCAACCCATGGAACCCTAATGAAATGAAATTTTATTATGATGGCCAAGGATTCATGACTGGTGAGATAACTTACGAAAAGATACAGCTGGCTTTTTATGATATCTTTGGTAATAAACTACACAAGTGGAGTGTCTCTGAATACGTACATAGTTCCTCGTAAAGTTTATTAGATTAAAAATTATTATGTAACTATGTCAATCTTATTATTTCTTGCAAATTATTGAAACAATTTCTTGTTTTTAGAAAGTCAACGTGAGGCATATGTATGTGATAATTTATGGGTTAAAGGTTGTGTATTAATTAACTTCTTGTTGTTTTTCACTCAAATTATGATGAAATAAATGTTGTGTCCTTTCTTTTATTCGTTTGTTATGTGATCTTATAACTTGTGTCATATTTTTTTTAGATAATCAACTTAGAATAGATTAACGAAAAACTAGATATAAAACATTAATATACATATTTAATTTCCCTCACACTTAACGACAATACATTTTATGAGCTTCATACTTTGGCCACCACAAATTCAGGTTTTGTCAATTTTCGTCCTCTTCTATTGCTAAACAACACACATTTAAAATTGACCATTACGTCGCCTTAACGACAGTACACTTTATGAGCTTCAATCTTCATACGTTGGCCACCACAAATTCAGGCTTTGTCAATTTTCGTCCTCTTCTGTTACTAACCAACACACATCTAAAACTGACCATTACGTCGCCGTTCCTCTCTTCCAATCAACTATTTACTAATTTACAGAGAAAAAAGTGGGAACCTCCTCCAAAACACATCGGCCCTCATCTGTTTTGGGTTTCTCGTTCAATGTAGAAGGTCGCCGATGTGCTCCATTAATATGTGTTTTTCTGCTATGCCTTTCACTTTCCTAATTTCCCAAATATCAAAATACCTCTACTTCCTTCCCAACAAAACTTGATCGATTGTTGTTGCTGCCATATCTATTGTTCTATCTCCCACTTTCCTAATTTCCCAAATATCAAAATCCCTACATTCGTACGTTTTCCAAATATCAAAAATTAAGAATGTTCGATGAAAAATATACCTCTGTATAAATTGATATCTTTTCCAATGTGTAGTTTGTAACTTTACGGGTTCCATGAGAAGCACATGTAAATTGAAAGATAATACATCTGATCACGAGCATCATTTCGATACATTTCAATTTTTAAAAAATATATATCAACACAAAGCCAATACCAACAAGATCTTCATTGCATTTTGATGTACCGGTGATAACCTGATGAGTCTTTCATAGTATCCATTTGTTCCAAAAATCTAAAGCATTATTTTTTTTTTAACAAAATCATACAAAACCAAGCGTTCAAATTACAAAATCAGTAACCTTAAACATAACCCTAAATAGACTGATACAGTTCCATGAGGCTCCAAACATATCCAGACAAAATATTAACAAACTCACACAATTATACATCACAAAATCAGGAGAAAACCCTGTTGAAGAAAATGGGAGTTGGAGAGAGAACTGTAATCTCAGTGGAATGAGGTTGCCAGAAGAGAAGGAGTAGAGGCTGATGGTGAAATTGGTCTTCTCTAAGGTAGTCGGCGAGAAGATAACCTATGATCGAAAGAGAAAGAAAGGTGAAGGGGGCGTTGCGATCGAGAGAACGAATTGTTGGACCGACGAGAAGAAAATCGGTTCCTGAGAGAGTGAGAGCCAAAAGAGGAGCAGGGATCGATTAACGAGAAAGGGAGGCTTCTTCCAATTTTATATAGCATAAAACCATGTAGGGATGACTTATTGTCCCTATACCCTCAAGCAAAAGAACGTGGCCCCTAATTTCTAATTAAACAAATTTAAAATATATATATATATATATATATATATATATATATATATATATATATATATATATTTAATTTAAGTTTTTTTGGCACAATATGTCGTCCTTAAACGTTTTTGGAACTCCAACAACATTTTTTTGTTCACGCTTTAACAGTAGAGGCGACTTATCATCACTTTAGCTTATAAAGTCAAAAATGTTTGGTCAACCCTATAGCAACGACTGTTGTCGTCCCTATAGGATCATCTATAGCAACCACTGTTGTCGTCCGTTGAGAGAAAAACTTGGAAGAACACTTGAACAAACATTAGTACAAGATAATAAGTTACAAAATAAGTTAATCTCAAGGATCTTGTTAGCCCAACAATAATAAGTTAGAGATCTTAGACTGTTAGGTGCGGAAATGTAAAGGAAATATAAATGACAACAAGTTATATCAAGTATACACCAAGTTATTTTGTAACAAGGTTTGCATTCAAACGCAAGTTATTAAATGTGAACAACTTAAGGTGAAGAGGAACTCGACAATTCGGATAAGATACAAAGAGAATGATCTTTGTATTTTAGTAATATTTCAAAAGATCGTGAAAGTGTAATGTTACATGAAGGGGAAGTCTCTATTTATAGAGTCCCAAAAAGTTACATTTGAAATAAACTTATACTAAGTTACTGACTTTAGTGACCATGCAAGGTTCACTGGACAAAACTACGAAAACATGCTAAGTTAGAAAAGTATCGTCAGGGTCTTCATGTTCAGATCATCTCTCCGGTAGTACATCAGGTCTATGGTTCAACATTAACATAAGCAATCTTTGTTTCATATCATCTCTGTGGTAGTAACAACAAGGCAGGTCTTCGGTTCCTAAGCTAAAGAGGGTCACTTTTCGTTTTAACAATTTCCCCCAAAGTAACCTCTCAGCTTCCTGCTTTAATTGTTCAATTTGATAAACCGGATGATGATCCACCAAAATTTCATTACTTCAGACAACCAATGGATTCTTCGAGTTATTTCAAACTTAGCTTCTTTTGTAGTGTGCATTGATCGCTGGACTAGAGCTAGAGTGATGTCGAGTTGTTTCTTGGCCAACCGATGCATTGCGGTCACAAGTATGAAGTATTTTGGACCTTCTAGACCTATTTTGTAGATAGCACCTAACTCTGGGAAGTTGGTTTCCTTGAGAGACATACTTTGGTACCCTTCAATGAAGCTTGGAGCAGGCTCGAAGTAAGGAAATTTGAACTTCTTGGCAAGGATCGGGTGAATTTCAGCGTTAATTTTCCCAAAATCACATATCAAATCCTTGAGAAATTCACAAGCTTTTTTAACATGAAATGTTCACCTTAGGATATTTATCAGCCTTAACTGAAAACACCCTTGCAATCAGAAATATCTCCTCCAGGTTTATCCATACAAAATCCGCTTGAGTACGGATGTAGTCACTTCCTCTGCAGTGCAGGGTATACTGAATAAAATTAGTTTTCATGAACTTTCCCACTTTGAAATTCTTCACATTTTCCTGTCAATCATTTGACAAGATTTTGTCAAACTCAGATCCATTTTTGGCATGAAAAAGGCTCAACCATACAAATTTCATTAGCAACCTTCTTGCATCGGGAAGATTGAGATCAAGTGGTTCAAAGACTAGAAAGTATTTCGAGTTGGGAGAGATGGGAATATCTCAGTAGCCGTCGGAAGGCAGTTAAGCGTAAGTGAGATGGGGAACATAGCCAGCATCTAAAATCTTCATGTTGGATTCACCCAAGACTTTATTAACGTTTCATCAAAGGTGGTATCGAACCCTTGCTCTTTCCAGATTTCATCGACAAATTTTTCCGCTCTCCAATCTCTTTTCATTTGTGTGGTTGCCGGAGAGTCTTCTGTATGATCTAATGACATCAATTATTCTTCTTTATTGTGCTTGTTGTGATGAGAAAGTAATTTTATTAGAGATTGTAATGGAGATTTCTATGGTGAAGACCGAGGAGTTAGGTCTTTATAGTCCTTAGGAGAAGACCAGGGAGTGGGTTCTTATTGATTCTCTATAGTAGAAATAGGATTTACAGGAAGAGTTTGATGAACTGATGGGGTTTTGGAATGTAAAGGAACTTGTTCTTGATCGATCCTTGGAATCCTTTCACTTCCCCCCTTTGAGGAAGCAACCTCCTATTGCTCCTCAAACTATCGCTTAAGACCATCAATCTTTGAAAATTAATCATTAAATTGATACTTCATTTGCTCATAGATTTGAAAGTTGCTAGGGATATCTTTGTTGAAGAGCAGTTGGTAGATTTCTGATATTGTCATATTTATACCTATTTTTAGGCAATATTTAAGTACTTTTTTATATATAAACTGGTAATTTGCTTAGAATAATGGTACTTATGAGTTTAAATGTTGTTTGCAGCCAAAAAAAGAAGACCTTTTGAAGAAAAGGGGCTAAAAATGTCAAATGAAGAAACTTTGGGAGTTAAAAGATTAAAGGACAAGAAAATCAAGGAAAAGCGGATTCATAATGTGAATATTTCAAGATTCACAACGTGAGTCTATGTTCTAGAAGATATGTACACAGGTGAAGGAATCCTTAACGGGCACGGCTATCTATAACTCACGATGTGAATATCTTAGTATTGACGACGTGAATGAGGAAAATCAACAACTATATATATCCTTAACCATTACAATTCGAAAAGCTTTTTGGTGGCTGAGAAGGGTTCCTAAAGACGAAAATCAGAGAAGAAAAGTACCGGGAAGCTGGTTTCAGCACGAAGGAAGTAGAAGTACATAAATTTATTCATGGTTTGGTACACTTTAATATGTTTTGGATTATAACATTCGTTTGTTTAACTAATATATGTCCAGCTAAATCTAGCTGCTTCTATTAGCTAGATGAAGCTGGAACTCATAGTTTTAATGCATTAGAGTTGACTTTAATTGTTGGTGATATGCTTGTGTTGATTGATTTTACCTAGCATGCTTGAATTAGTTATTTAATTGCTTTGAATCCTTTTTCTGTGTAGTTAGTGAACACAATGTTGCATGAACTTGAATACCTAATAATATAGTGAACACTAGTTATTGGAGCTAAGATAAAACTATCTTAGAATAGTAATTGAATAATTAAATTAAGATATGTTAGAGAACTCATGTTATGACCATAATTGTGTTTTGATTAATCAATTTTTCATGGCTCCAATCATATTTAATAATTAATTATGTGTTAACTATTGTATGAACATAAATAGAATTACATGAATTGATTAATAATTAGTTGAGTTAGAACTAAACTACTAATACTATCTTAATTGGTCACCAACAGTAATAGTTATAACTAATGTATAACCATTGAGTGAAAATGAATTCGAACTAATAGAAGTATTTTATTTATTGATTAAGTTATTGTTAAAGAATTAAGTTCATCTAAACTTGCAAAATTAGATAAAAAAAACCTTTTAGCTTGTTAATAATTAGATTAATTTAATAGTAAATAGTGACACCGTTCCTGTGACCGACACCCGACTTACCTAAGCTATACTGTAATCTGACTAGGTACACTGCCTATAAGTGCATAGTTAGTTAACTTTGTTAGGTTATAAATATTAAAATTAGTGGGTACTTTCGTGCACATCAAGTTTTTGGCGGCGTTGCCGGGGAACGGCTTAGTTTATTTGCTTTAGGTTAATCGATCCTTTTTTATGGGTAAAACCTCCAAAAAAGTTAATTTTCCAGCAAAAGCTTTAGTTTTAGTTTTTATTATCTGTTTTCCAAATTTTTTTTATCTATTTTTTATTTTTTTTTTCAGAACTCACGATGTGAATTGTTAGATTCACGACGTGAGAACTGTGAATTTCAGTTTCCCTTAGTTTTTAGTTTATTTGTTTATTTTAGTTCAATTTTACGTTTTGTTTATTTATTTAATCTGCAGGAGTTCATGACCAGAGGCTCAAACACACCTTTGGTGTCACCACTTGATGATCCCGATTCGACAATTAACAAGAAGAAGACGCCCTTACAAGAATTCAAATCAGTGTTTTCAAAGAAATCAGGGAAGAAGACTGGGGAGTCAAGTTCATCCTCGAAGAGCAAAAGCAAGCTTGAACACTTGGATCAAATAAACACAACTTTTGAGCTTTGTTCACTTAGAATAACCTTAGAATATTTCTTTAATTGGTTACGAGTGTCTATTAGATTTTGCAGTAAATTTTGATACTCGAGAATTTTAGATAAGGTCTCGACAAAAGGAGTACTAATCGGGATACCCTTTGCGTGCTTAACAAACTCTATATGCTCTCTTTCCAGTGGGCTAAGGTCAGCTCGGGAAAGAAACGACAAAGGCGGCTGATAAACTGAACCAACTTCAAAAAAATTCTGTTCCTGACGGGCCCACGTCGTGAACTAATATGGTTCACGTCGTGAATTCTGATATTCAACAGCATCTTGACTTTCGAGCTTGGGCTTCTTCAACTTTGGATCGGACTATTGTTGTTCTTCTTCTAGTGCCTCTAAGAACTCAGAGATGGCCTCTTCTTCACTATCTATGGCCATTACATGAGATTGGGTCCTCATTTCGGGATTTTTTGGGGACAACTTCTCATGAACCAGAGTGGCTAGTTGACCAAGTTAGACTTTAAGGTTATTGATGGAGGCTTGCTGATTCTTTAGTAAAGATTGTTGTTCATTAATAGCAGAATCAGTATCATCGTGTCTCTTTTCTGAGGCTTCCATAAACTTCATCAACATGGTCTCTAGATCCGGATTCTTCTCAGCTGGTGGCTGCTCCTTTTGATAGAAGCGTCGACCTATCTTCCTGTACTTATCTTCTTTTTGCTTCTTATACTCTTCATATGGTAGCCACTCCTTCTTTGGTTTCCTCCAGTCTTCATCAAACTTATCCCCACTTGAGTAGCACACTTGAGCTTTTCTGTTCCCAAACTCATCTAAATTGCAGTCCTTGGTCAAGTGCGGACCACTACACCTCTTGCAACACACTCTTATGGCATGAATTGAGTGATCCATTTGTGTCAACCTCCGGTCCATATTATTTAGCATAGCCATCATGGATTCTATTTCTTTAGTTTGAGCTCCTCCACCACCTTTAATTCCATCCTGCCTAGGGTTGTGGTATTCATGAGAGTGTTTCACGAATTCTTCAATTAATTCCTTGACTTCGCCCGGATTTTTCCTAGTAAGTGGTCCTTGAGAATCAAGGAGTTGTCTTGTCATCATGTTTACCCCATCATAAAATATTGAGACCTCCTGTTGAATGTTAAGGTCATGTTGAGGACAATTCCTTAACAACCCTTTGTAACGGTGCTAAGCTTCGTAAAGTGACGCTCCCAGGTTTTGCTCAAAATTGGCTATTGCCATTTTGAGTTTAGCAAATTTGGATGGTGGACAGTATTGATCTAAAAACTGCTCACGTATTTGAGTCCAAGTGGTTATGGTACCGGGTGAAAGTGCTTTTAACCAATCCTTTGCAGCTCCTTTAAAGGTAACGGGAAGTACCCTTAGCAAAAATGGTGTCTCTGTTAATACTTGGGACATTGAAGTAATCAGCAATGTCATTCACTTCATCTATGTGTTTCAGTGCATCTTCGTGATCCTTTCCATAGAATGGGATATCCTTTAGTGCGGAAAGGATATGTCCCTTTAGCTCGAATGTGGTAGTGGCCAGGATGGCAGGTTGTACTAAGCATGGACCAACATCTTCTTAAATTCTCTTTCTGTCATCTCCCATGGACATTTCCTCAATATTTCCATCTCGTTCCTTGGCTCGTTCTCGGGTTCGCTCGTATGTTCTTCAAATTCGGGATCGGTATCATACTCAGACTCGGTTTGGAAGGGTATTTGGAAACTATGCGGGTGGTCAAAAATTTTGGGTCGCATTGGGGCATAGTACCTTTAGATGGTGAGGGTGACGATGATGATGATCAACCGGCCGACCAACCTGAACCACAACCACAGCCGAGGCGCAGGAATGTGAAAGGACGGGGAGAACGCGGGCAACCAATGCCTCCACCCGCATCCATGGTGGTACCATCTTTTAGGAATGACATGGCTGGTTATTTTGACCATTTATCTTTGAGTGTCAATTGGATTGGCAGGACTATGGAGAACGTTGTCCAGCACCGTGCAGTGGAGCAGCCGCCTCATTTGGGGTATCATTACCCGATTTTCCCGAGATGGACGGAGTACGGCAAACGTGGAGGTGACGGAGCGGGTACGAGTGGAGCGCACGATGAAGAGGAGGATGATTGTTTGTTTGTTTTATTTTGTTTTGATTTGGTTTGTTTTTATTGTGTTATTTTGGGATTGTAAGAACTATGAAGATATTATGTTACTTTTATTGTTCTATGGCTGATATTTCTCAGAAATGGCTAGGAGCGCCTAGAAAGGGTATCTAGATAGAAGTGTGTACGTCTTTAGCTTGGAGTGTTTAGAGTCGAGAGTCGAGACCCATATTTTAAAATAAGTATGGGGTGAGTCGAGAGAGTGGATAGTTAGCAAAAGTGTAGCACCTGGTTTCTGGTATGTAAATCTTATCCGAATATTTCCTATTTTAGCCCTGGACTCGGCGAGTCATAGGTCCGACTCGCCGAGTAGGGACGTGACCCTGGACACATTTTAAGTTGGCGACTCGGCGAGTCCATATCCTGGACTCGGCAAGTCGCCGCTGTTGGATGAAACCCCAAGTTTCAGGGGTTTGCACCCTATTTAAATGACTTAACTGCGCCAAGCCAGCCCCCATTCACCCTTAGAGCACTGTATCCCCCGTTCTAAGTTGTTCCTTGAGAGTTGGAGGCTACTGTGTGTGTTTTTGAAGGTTTTGAAGGAAGAAGGAAGTAGATCCAGAAGAAGGAAAGCCATCCAGGAAATTATTGTGTTCTTCCAGCAGTTCCTTTGAGGTATAACTCGTTTTCCCCATGATTCTATGCTTAAAACTTCATTTGGGTCTTTCTTGGTCAAATCCCCAAGCTTGTATGTGGATTATATGTCGTAATAAGATGTTTGGCCTCTGGATCTAGGCAAGATTGAGCTCCAGGAGCTCAGATCTGTTAGCTTTATGGCCCCATGTTGCTTGTTAGCCCTAGATCTACCCTTTTAAGGCATTTTGAGCCCTAAAATCCATATTGGTGAATATCCACACGTAAAGTTGGAAACTTTACGAGTGATTTGTGTCCTAGAAGTCCAGATCTAT